AGGGTGAACCTAGCTTTAAAGTGAAACATATGCCAGCAGCCAGCCTTAGCTTGGTAAACCTTTTCAGGGATGTCCTTCTGAACTGATATGCTCTGAGCCCTGAACCCCTTGTCTTATGGGACTGCCTAGGACCAAGAAGTTAGACTGCCAGGTCCTGGTCTGTAGCTTGTGACATGAGCCCAAAGGCAGGAATACTCGGTCACTTTGCTGGATCAAGCGAAGTAAGTCTTACAAACAAATAATGTTGTAGTCAAAATGCAAGGAAAGCTAGAATACCACCATGCAGGGAAGCGATAGCTGACATTGCCTGGCGAATACACACATGAAGCAGCAACGAACTAATTGGATCAAGGCATCATTTGGAGACAGTTTGAAGTGAAAGCTTGCACTTAGCCTAATTTTTTTCCACTTTCAAAACATCCTGGCCACAGGCTCTGGAATGTTTCCAGGGGAAGTACTGGAAAGGCCAACTGCAGTGGACACATGCCCCTAATGAATGCATCAGGCCCTTGCTAACATCTGGCCCTGTATGAATCACAATTTGTTGCATCACAGGAATGCATCCTACCAGATGTCTACAGCGAGACAAAAATTGAGAGCCATATATCGGGTACAATTAAGCTGCACAAAACTGAGATGAAACACTTGATCCATCATATACTTACCAGACCTTTCTCTGCATCTTTATCAGTTGAAGCAGCTGGAAAACAAGATAAATGTCTAAGAAACTTTTAGGAATTGCAGCAACTTAAACATAGTTGAATTCACACAAGATTTATATGCAGTAGACACAGTCATAACACAAACCAAAGCTCTAATACAAGCCATTTAGTTTCCTTGACCTGTCATACATCTCATGAGAGTACTACCCTTAGCTTCCACCAACAGCACGAACACTGTGCCTTCATATGGGGGATGAAGAGTCCCGCCTAGTAAAATACAGACCACAAGATGCAGTTTGGCTTTTAAGCCACTCTTTCAATTTCCCCCCCCTCCAGCTTATGCTTATTAGCATTTTTGTGGGCTATTGCAAGACAAAAGAGAAGGCAGAAATTGTTTTTACTGCAATACAATCAGTAAGACATGATTTGAACAAAGTTAACATTCACAATTCAGAATAATTTTCAACATTTAACTAAACTAGTTGCAAAACCACTTTAATATGCAGTAGTGGAAAGAAAAGTTTCTCAGGAAAACATCTCCATTTCCACTAAAAACATAAAATGAATTCACACAGGACTTCAACCTAACATTCATGTTAAGAGGCTCAAATGATGAAAAGGCAACAAGCTGTAGAAAAAATCTCCACAGCCAAACACAGTGAATGAAGGTAGTTAATGATCTAATCAGTTGCTACTTCTTGCCCCATACACCTGAGCTCACGCACAGATTTTTCCTCACTCTTCACCAAATACAATGCAAGCAGATAGGAAAAGTCCTTTTAAGGACCTTATGCTAATCCTGTTTTGAAGCAAAGGCACCTGTCAGCAAAGTAGGAAAGCTCATAGTTAAAGTTTATGCATTTTATTTACTGAACAAAACTAGTCTCCATTATATGGGAGTTATTTAATTGAATCACATACTAAATGAGCTAGAACTTAAACAGGTCTCCTATAAGGTAACACAAAAATCAGGGATAGCTTTAATGCATGCTTTGCCTAGTTCTGGAAAGTTTATGGACAGTAATCAAGCAGTTACCTTTATCACTCTTCAGCTTTTTAATTATAAAGAGCAGCAACAAACCAACAGCAGCAACAAAAATAATCACAATAATCCAAATAAGAGCTGTGCTTCCTGCAAAGGAAAAAGGAATAAAATTAGTACTGAAGCAGTCCCCAAACAAGATATTCTGAAGTGCAAGACTTTCCTGCTGTCCTAGAGAAAAACCTAAGCTCAACAGTAGTACAATGACCCAGCTAGCTTGTCCTGCAAAAGGCACTGGGACTATAAGCTGACCTGAACACGCAAGTACTCATTCGCACCTCACATCATTATCCCAAAGGCAGCAGGGGATTCTGTACGGGGCTGCAATACAACTTCTACAAGGCTTTCTGAAGAGACATTGAAGAGTGGGAAACAAGTGTGCAAAAGATGACAGCAAGCTTCAGATGCTGTAGCTTTGGTAGCATCAGTTCCGTGTTTCTCTAGTCTGGCAGAAGCTATCTACCAGCAGAAGAGAAAGCCCCTCCATATGCCGCTTCTCAGACATAGAAAACATGAAAGAAATCTCTGTACTATCCATAACTTTCAACAGTGTCACTGTTGCAACTTTGAAAACCCTGGTGATACATGTAGCTTTTCACCGAGTGAAATTTCAGATGGTTTGTCACTCCAACCCCTTTGAGAACTTGTCTCTAGCCAGTAATTCCCAGACCAAAATACAGCAGCTCTTAAACATGTTACAGTAGTTCAAGCCACTGTTTTACAGACTGCTCTGGTGTTATTAGCCTGAAGCCACAGACCCAACAGACCAAGCTGAGTGGTATTTGTGTACCAGACCTTGATCAGGTAAGCCACATCCTAGGTCCATAGTAGCATTGCAATTCTGCACAATTTCTTTCCCTTCCGGACACCTGAAGGGGATGGCAACACAGGGTTGTATCAACATTTCCAGAGTAATATGCAGCTCTCCCCAGTACTGTTTTTTTTTTCAGGCAGAGCTTAGAGACATGAACAGAACATGCATAAACAGGTAACTTTGTTAGAAGTGCACCTTTAAACAACCCAAGATAATACTACAAGGTTAAGTAGAAGCAAAGCAGATAATGCTCATGTATGTTAGCCTCTAAGTGGCAGGGAAAAAACCCCACAGAGTAGGTGCATTATTCATGCACAGTTAGTTTCCTTCAACAGGTGGTTCTACCTCCCAAAATTTTGGGCTGGCTGCTACAAAGCTCATTCAAGTGTGTACGTGGGGAAGTACTAATCTGAAGACACAAAAAGTGTAAGCTTACAGCCATAAGCGACAAGCACAACAATACCAAAATCCGTATCTTTCTAGGTCTCAACCTCATGTATTTTGACACCTAAAATTTAAATGCATGAATAATGCCATTTGGTTTCAGGGCAATTATTTACAGCCTAATAACATGTGTTAGGTATTGGCATAGATTGGGCCACAGCTCTAACATTCCCCAGAAGGAAAACAGTGACTTATATTCATTATCAAACTTACACTGTACTGCATCTCTGACATATTTCACAGCCCTCGGCAGGGCAGAAATACCCTTGTTTGCATTGGCATTCGGTATCATGCGTCAGAGTACAGGGTCTCAAAGTTATCTGATCTAAAAATAAAATATAAGTTAAAAAGTAAATACAAAAGTTGTGACACTCTACAACTGTGCAAAAATTATACTCGGGCCATAAAGGCAATTTATTTGTAAGTTCAGTAGTCTCAATGACTGGAAGTGCAAAAAACCAGAGGACCAGGCTTTCCACATTAAAAAAGGGGAAAAGGGTTAAGGTTTCATCAAAATTGTGCTTGGTACCCTCTTTGCACTGTCTGCATGACAAGCATTCTTCCAAGCCGTTCTCATGAGCGGTATAACCCTCTCCTTCGGTGCAAGGGACACATCTTCCTCTCAAATGCGGAGCACTGCAGTGCTGAGCAACATAAGTACCTGCGGAAGAGGAGAAGCGGCAGCAGCAGCAGTCTCAAGGGATCATTTAACAGGCAGAGGACTGTAACAGGATGTTACAACAGTTTTGGTGAAAGTTCAACCCCTCCTTGCCAGCGAACAGCGTGCCACATGAACCCAGCAGCACAGCAGAGTTGGGAGGCACGTTTGCAGCTTGCCGCTCAGGCAGGGAGTGGTGGCATATGAGGCATTCAGCCAGGCCTCTGCCGGGACACACCGGGGACGAGGATGACTCACTGCGGTAGCCGAGAGTCACCCACGTGGCCAGCGCCATCTCCTCTGAAGGAGCATGGCGGGCACAGGGAGAATTGCTTGTAGCAACCTCTCTTTTCCTTCGTCCGAATTATCTTTAAATACACCCAATAGCCCTCCGATACTATCTAAGGGCAGGGTGCTTCTTGGCACAAAGCTTGTTAACTCTGCACACATTGAGCAAGGAGGGGAGAGCAAAGGCAAACCAAAGTTTTACCTACAGATACAGAAATATCAGAATTCCCCTAGGCCCGTTCTTTGTGCTAACTAAAGTTTTGGGTTTTTTTTTTAAAAAAAAAAAACAAAAAAACAACACACCACCACCCGACTTTGAACACTTCATCCTCAACAGCAGGCAGAGGTTTCCTGGCTTGCTGCCAAGGCACCTCTCCCAGTCATCACCTATTGTGCAAGAGGCTCTCACTTCAAAATGGAGCCCAGCCTTAACAGCACCAAGAAGCCACCACAACTCCAACCCGGCTTACACTTTCACCGGATGCAGTGTAAAAAACAATAGTGACGCAGTCAGCTCCATGGGGAAAAAACCATGGCCGTTATCAGCTATAGCTGCCTGAAGTCTTACCTGCTGGACAAGATACGCAGCAGTGACCTTCATGTAAGTATTCTCCCTCCCCGCAATCCTCTGCTCTGGTTCCAGGCATCATCATCAGCGTAACCTAGAGCAGAGACAAACAGGTGTTTGAGTGATTCATCCTCCAGGACACGATAACATCTCAGGGAGATGTTCCTGTAAAAACTTGAAAACACATTCAGAAGTTCATGGGAAGCCACAAAGGAAACCCAAACTAATTTCTGCTAAGTGCACCGCTCACAGCGGTAATTACAATCACAAAGCTGGGGTTAGAGCAGCACCGCGCAGCGGCTGATGGGTTTTAGGCAACTATTGCCCCAGATCCCCGCCTCCATTTTAAACTTCTATTTTCTTTTTAACTAATTCACCGCAATCGAACTTCAGAGGCTGAGGTTTCCGCCTTGTACAAGGGGTTCGTTTCTCCCTCCTCCCGTCTTTTTAATTCAGGAGGGTCAGTACTAGTCTTCCTCCAGCAAATTGGAGGAAACGCCCCAGAGATCCCATCCAACATTTCTCACTGGCTCTGTAATCTTCATCAGAAGGCAAGTAGTTGAGTCATTAACAAAAATAACTTACTGTAGCCACAGGAGCATTAGGAACTTTTTTTTTTCCTTCTTCTTTTAAAAAAAAGAAGAATGCGCACCCCTCGGCAAGCCTCCAGCGGAGCGGAGCGGGGCGCCGGGCA